AGAATAAATATAAAACTTAATAAAATTTTACTTAATTAATTTCTTTTCTTTTACCCAAAGTTTATTTTTTTTTTTATATAAAAAAAATTTTTTTTTTTTTTGACCTCCACAAAGAAATGTGTTCTTCTATATTTATACATATAAATGATAATTCAATGACTAAATAAAAAATAGAAAAAAAAAAAAATGTTATACACACACACATTCTACGATAATCTGTATGATTTTTTTTTTTTTAATCAACTCAACACATGTGAACTTGAACCTTTTCAATACACACAAATTATTATTATTATTTTTTTCGTACGAAAGTTATTTACATTTATTTATTTAATTATTTTTTTTCAGATAAAAACGCGATAATAATAATAATAATATAAGCTCGAAAAAAATAAAAAATTAATGCAATTTTATACAGTAGTACTAGTTACCACTAGTATTACTACTACCGTAGTAGTAGTAGTAGTACATAGTTGACAAAACGATAAAAGTACCATTTAAAGGAGATTTATTTAAAATTCAAAATGTCTTCTCAAAGTTAAAATTAAAATTACACTTAAAACTTATCACACAGAGACAGAAAAAGAGAGAGAGAGAAACCAAACCACACAGACACCGAACAAAACTTAAATCAAACATGGCGGAAACAATAGAATAACATTAATTTTTTTTTTTTTAATATTTAAATATCCAATATATATGTATATATATAAAAACGCACGAAATAAATTAAGGGTTAAAAAAATATCGCATCGAATAAATAACATTATCGATACGATCGATATTAATCGATTAAAAAAAAAAACGACTAACGGTCAAAATAACCTTAAAGGCGTCATTATAAAAAAAAAGTGAAAAATAATTGTTATTTTACCTTATTCGACAAAAACAACCGCTTCCGTTATTATTATTATCACTTAATAAATAAATAAATAAAACAAAAACGAAATAAAAAATAAATAAACTTGACAAAATCACAATAAAATTACAATTTTTTTTTCACTTTTAAAACTTCGTTATTCTTTCCTTGAAAGGAACGCTACGAAGAACGTAGTCGAACAAATTTGAATTTTTACAAACGGGAGTACCAACCTAAATTTTATCTTTTTTTTTTTGTTACGTTTTTTGTTAGATTCATTTTTGAGATAACGATTGGAATCACCCCCTTCCACTTTTAATTGTTGGCCACTGTAAAACTTCGATTGTCGGCCACTGTAAAATTTTGATTGTCAACCATTGTAAAATTTTAATTGTTGGGACGTACGCAAATTGCATTTACCCTCAACACACATACACATATATAAATTTATAACTGAAATTTTTTGCTTTTTATTTTTCTTTACACACACCGAAAAAATTATAACAAACATGGCGAAACAATAGAGTAACATTAATTTTTTTTTTTTTTAACATTTAAATTTCCAATATATATATATAAAAACGCACGAAATAAATTAAGGGTTAAAAAAATTTCGTATCAAATAATTAATATATCGATACGATCGATATTAATCGATTAAAAAAAAAAACGACTAACGGTCAAAATAACCTTAAAGGCGTCATTATAAAAAAAAAGTGAAAAATAATTGTTATTTTACCTTATTCGACAAAAGCAACCGCTTCCGTTAATATTATTATCACTTAACAAATAAATAAATAAAACAAAAACAAAATAAAAAATAAATAAACTTGACAAAATCACAATAAAATTACAATTTTTTTTTTCACTTTTAAAATTTCGTTATTCTTTCCCTACTCGTAACTTGAAAGGAACGTAGTCGAACAAAATTTGAATTTTTACAAACGGGAGTACCAACTTAAATTTTATCTCTTTTTTTTTTTTTGTTACGTTTTTTGTTAGATTCATTGTTGCGATAACGATTGGAATTTTCGAACGAATCACCCCCTTCCACTTTTAATTGTTGGCCACTGTAAAATTTTAATTGTTGCGACGTACGTAAATTGCATTTACTCTCAACACACACATACACATATGTATATATATTTCTAACTGAAATTTTTTGCTTTTTCTTTTTTTCTTTTCATTTTTTTTTTTTTTCGTGGAAGAGAGGAAAACAATACGAAACATATATATATATATATATATATATATATATATATATATATATATATATAGACAAACAACTAACCTTTGATTTTTGTTCGTTGCAGGCCTAACCATTGCCCTCTTTTCGTCTTTGGGGAGCCGCAAATAATCTTGGTCACCCAAAAGGAAAAGATCCTTGGATATAATCATTTCCAGGCAAGATAAGCCTGTCGGAGAACTTCAGACTAATCCTACTTTTCAGCCTTGTCACCGGCTTAAATAAAAAATTCACTTCATATATCAATATATACTTATATATATAATTAATACTCGTGTGTGCGTGTGCGTACGTACGCGTACAATACCCGAACGATATATATCTACGTATAAAAAAAATATCCTTCTCCCTATTAATATTAAAAATAAGTCATTTTCCTATCTCTACTTTCACTCTTATTATTATTTTTTTTTTTTATAATAAATAAAAAACATTTTTAAATATTTAAAAAAAAAAAAAAAACGAATAGAAACCGAAAAACGTTTAACGAACTTTTAAAAAATTATATTCAACGTACGTATTTAATTATATATATATATATATATATATAAATATTATTATTATGTATGTTCATAAAAAATAACCGCGTTTCACAAACTTTAATATATTAAATTAAGGTTTTAATTTTTTTTTTTTTTTGACCGATTCGAATAATATTTTTAACGTAAATTTAATTATATAAATACACACACACACGCACAATATATTTAATTATTTGTTACGAAAAAAAAAAAGAAAACGCGATGTAACCCCCAAAATATATTATATACCGGTTACGACTAAATAATAATAATAATAATAATAATAATAATTTTTCTCTCTTTTTTCGTTAAAGAATACAAAAAAAAAAAAAAAAAAAACTCCTTCACGACAGATAAAAGTTTACCGAAAGACTGTATGCAAATTGATTGCGATTTGAGAATTTCAAATCACACTCACGATTCGACCAATCACACGATAACGTTCTCACTAACGAGAAGACGGTTAATAGGCTTATACTTAACCTACACGAAAGCTCCATCGATTTAACATTGCTTTTTAACTCCACGTACGACGACTAGCGGTGACGCAACGAACTAAAAAACTTTTCAAAAAAAAACTAAAAATTATTTTACATTATTATTATTATTATTATTATTATTATAATTATTACTTTTGTAAATCGTCGTTGAAATTTATCAAATAAATAAATAAATAAATAATTAATAAATTTTAATTTCGTGTTATTTGTCTAATAAATCAAAAAATAAATAAATCCGACGTGAAAAATAGTTACGAAAAAAAAAAAAAAACAGAAAAATCGTTTTTAATTTTTTTTAAAATTATCCTCAAAATGGCGGACGATAACGAACTTTTTTTCGTTTCTCATTTGTTTCAAATTTAAAAAAACAACCGTTGATAACTTTTATAATTATAATAATAATCACAACCTTAATAATAATAATAATAATAATACTCTTCAAATAATCATGAAATTATACATAATAATAATAATTTTAAAAAAAACGATTCCCCTCCAAAAAAAAAAAAAAATTACAAATTAATCTTTTAACGAATTTATTCATTCATTTATTTATTTATTTATTTACGGCGAATTCAATTCATTCATTCATTCATTCCAGTAAGCAAATAAATAAATAAATAAACTAATTAAAAAAATTTTGTTTTGTTTCTTTCTCTCTCTCTCTCTCTCCTGTCAATTTTTTGAATCGACGATTTTTTCAATGGTCCAGCCATTTTAATTTTAAAACAAAACAAAAATTTTCTTTTTTTTTTCGAACTTATAACCGAAATAACTTGAAAATTAGGCATCTTGACAACAAGGTAATTATAAAACCTGTTTATACGCAAACCTAAAACCTAATTTTCACAAAGATAAACAAAGAAAATGAATCGTCATTTAACAAAAAAGCAAAAAAAAAAGACAAATTAAAAAATTATTCTAAAGTGTAAATTTTAAATTAAAAAAAAAGAAATAATAATAATAATAATTAATTATTATTAATATTATTATCATTATGATGATGACGATGATACTAATAATAATAATGAGTATCGAAACGAAAATCAATTTTTTGTCTCTAACTAACAAAGTATATCCATATCATGTTATTCTTAATTTTTTTTTTTTTATTATCATTATCATCATCCTTATTTTTTTTTTTTTTTTTGGAAAATTTCATAGCCGAATGCATTCTCTCTCTCTCTCTCTCTCTCTTTTTTTTTTTTTTTACGGTACAATTCCTTTTCCGGTAAAATTTTCCGCTCGAATAGTAATTAATTAATTAATTAATTTTTTTTATTTTATTTTTTTTCCATCTTTTTGAAATCATCAAATTTTAATTATTATTATTATTATTATCATTATTATTATTTATTCGAAATCAACGTTGAAGGCCTCCAATGAAGTTTGATCTTCGGAAGTGATTAATTTGACGATGGCTCTTAAAATAACGGTCGTTTGACTTTCTTTTTCCCAATCCACGACTCCAGGATTCGATATGGCGGATTCGAGGAGAAGAAGCAATTGTGTTCTCAATTTCTAAAAAATCAGAACAGAAAAAAGAAAAATAAAACATTTCATGCGTGAAAATTTTTCCTCTTTCTCTCTTTCTCTCTCTCTCTCTATCTATCTTTCGTGTACCTGAACGAGAGATGCAGTTTTTTTAAAACATATGAATTTGATCATGTCGTCGACTCTCACGGAATATCCGTTATTTTCTTGGATGATGTTTAACCTTTCGCCGAAGAACAGTAGAGCCATCGGGTAGACCATGGTCGCATCGTGTAAAAATATCGAACTGCTTTTTATTTTTTCGAAATAAACTAAAAACGGACTTTCGAAATGTTTGACTTTTTCCAAAAGGGATTTGACGTGTATTTCGACTTTCGGATGATCTGCCGTTTTCCAAACGACTCTACTAACTCCTTCCGTTTTTTTTTTAACGACTTTCCTATAAGATAATAATAATAATTTTTAATATTTTTCTTCCTTTCTAAATGAGTGAGAAATGGGGAACAACTCACTTTATCATGGCCACGTTGGGATAAAGTCCTGAACACACCAATGCTTTTATCAGGCTAACGTTGTGTGAATTATAATTGCTCGTAGGATGTTTAGGATCGTCGCTAATTATAAAATTCATTTTTTGTAAATGTCTCGCAAATTGTCTCTTCATGCTCCTGCAAAAAAAAACGTGAAAAACCATTGTGATTCTTTGATTTTTTCTGACGATTGTCATTCGTCGGAAACAAACCTTAATAAATGCAAATTATGATTCGACAAATAATTTTCGTATGCGAAATTCAAACCGAAACCGCCATATTCGGCTTCTTCCCATTCTCTAAACGCTTCGCTCAACATGAAATGATCACTTTTTTCTCCGCGTGAAAATTTAAATCTTTTCTCGTGGACTTTATATTCGCTTCCGAGTAAGAAGATAAAGGGATCTTTGTAATTGAGACAAGCAGCTATAGAAAGTATCGGATCGAGACAGCTGAAAAGGGCTCCCATCAGTATCATTTTCCCGGTTTGGGGATCCATGGGTAATTTTGCCAAATGATAACCCAAAGGAGTCAAACGTTCTTCGTTGTCGAGTGCGTTGATGGTCAAAAGCATCTAAAAATCAATTGTGGTAAATTAATTTTGCATCGTGTGAGTGTATATACTCAAATCGAGTTTAGATTCATACTTTAAGAGATAAATTTATCGCTTCCGCATCTGGAGGATCCATTAATTTTTCTAAAAATGGTCGGATGCGACCCAATTGCAAAGTTTTAGCGTGCAATATAACTTCTTCCAAACGAGTCCTTTGCATTTCTGGAATCGGAAACGGTTCAAATGTTTCTTCTCTGGCTCTCGTAAATAATTTATAACATTTCCCTGGTTGAATTCTAAATTTAAAGAAAAAATTGCAAAAAAAAAAAAACAAATTTTTGTGTACATTTTAAAAGTGCGACAAACTTACCGTCCAGCTCGTCCTCTTCTCTGTCTTGCATTGGCCAAAGTTTCCCACTCGGGCTCTAAAGTCATAACGTTTTTTTTTAAATCGAAACCTTTTGCCTTAAGCCTACCACAATCCACGACGTAAACGACATCGTCTATCGTTATGCTCGTTTCTGCAATGGACGTGGCTAAAATTATTTTTCGAACTCCCGGTGGTGGCCTTTGAAATGCTTGCTTTTGATTGACCGTTGGTAAAATGGAATGCATTGGAATAATTAAATTTCTACCTGAAAAAATAAATGTTGATCGGTATTTTCTTTTTCAATTCCCGTTTCCGGATCGAACATAATTACAATACTTACGAGAACCGTAAGTTTTGGAATTTAACAATTTATTTAAATCTTGAATTTGTGCTAAACCAGGAACAAAAACCAATATGGCTCCTTCCGGTTCCGTGTTACAAATAAATTCAATGACTTGAGCTATGAATTGAACGTTAAGAGATTCCGATTCTGGATTCCTTAGTATATTTGTCACAGCCCGTGGGAATTCATTTGATTTTTCCAAATTATTAATGTACGGTATAACATAATTACTAAAAACGGGATCAAGTTTTTTCCTGGAAATAGGAAACTGAAATTTCATTTTAGTTAATATATTTTCCAAATAAATTTCTTCAACTGGATAAGTAAAACCTGGAATTTCTATTCTAGGTATTCCGCCAAAATATTCGGAAAAACGATCCGCGTTTAATGTTGCGCTCATTAATACAACTTTCAGATCAGGTCTCTGAAAAAATATAATTCGAAAAGAAAAAAAGTTTAAAGATAAGAGGAAAGGAAATGTTTTTCGTTTTT